ATTTTCACAGAATTACAGGGAAGATAAATTCTTATGAAGGTCCTTATTGAAGTAAAGAGGTGATATTGGAAGAACTTTTGAAATACCATGGAATGCCAAAGTTGCTGGTTTGAGGCACTATGAAAGCAGTAATGCATTAACCGTGCATTATGTGTGAAGTTCTTGAAATGCTTTTTTACCAAAGCACGAAGAAAAGCTGAATACATATTATCATTCAATGAATGAAAAATTAAGGAAGTTTGAAACTGTGCAACATTTGTTTGCTGTACGGTTAGCACAGGACTCAATGGCTCTAGATAGTTACTCTCAGTCGTAATTTACCACCGTATGTATATAGAAGCAGTCAGTCTATCGTTTCCTAAGACACCCATATGCCTAAGAGAAAATACCCCCGTATCGATGTTTGCCCCTCTAAAAAAAGCACATCTGTCTTCACCTTTCCCGGTAAGTCCTTTACAGTCACGATATGAGTGTGTACTGCTAGCCTGCAGTTCAGCGGAAGACAGCCGCGATCACGTGATATGGAAAACAGGACTTGTCATTAGCACGATGGCAGCTTTAATATCACAGACAGATGACGACAAGGGCACACACACACAAATTATGCTGCTGGAAATACTGTCATCAATAAATGTGATTTCAAAATACTAGCACCTACGCCACATGGCAAGACACATGATGTTGGTGGTTATGAGAGCAAGCAGACAAGTAGGTATGAACGTGGACGTGTAGACGAATAGTCTGAATAATAAATATCTAGGTCATGTAGCAGACAATGGTATAACCAAACAGGTCGTGACCTCATGATGGAAGAACAAGTAGAGGGGGAACTGTGCAAGTTCACAAAAAATTAATTAAATAACTGTTCAGCAGGTGATATCATCCCTTATATTCACACACACCCACACCTGCACACACGCCTCATATATATATATATATATATATATATATATATATATATATATATATATATATATATATATATATATATATATATATATATAATTTAACATACTGTTAGCAAGGAAGCGTCACACAATGATTCCACAAATAGGCAAACTAGAACCTATCCCTGACTAGTGTAGACACGAATGAAGCGACAGTATATATATTTATATAAATATAAACGCTACAGCAAGACGAAAGATATATCTAATAATTTCAGAATTTAACCACACCTATAAAAATTCCCCATCAAATCACCAATGTAGATTCTCCCGGACAAAACATGGGGTGACAAAAGACAACAAATGTATAGTTCTTAGTCACGTAAGGTCTAATTTTGGCAATACAACCTCTCCGTCAGTCGGCATTAGATGGCTGATATGGTTAGAACCACGCAGGCCGCCCTCACTTTCCAGGACTGTTCCTGGTACACCTATTGCTGTGTCGACCTGGGGGACAAGATCATTTTTTAGAAATGTCCGGATCGACCAGGACTCGAACCCACGACCTTTCCATCCTCAGGCGAGCGTCTGGCCGCTGTGGTCCTAATAGACAATTGCAAATCTGGAACTTCACTGACATATTTGTATTCATCCGTTACATTTGTTACTCTATATATTATTTGCTGACTTGTTGACAACCCGTATAGTGAGCTCAGTGTTTCAAAGAATGTTATCATCATCATCAAGTGTTTTGCTCACTGGTGTGGGCAATAGTGCTTCTCCACACATGGATTCTCCAATAAAATTCACTCTTTCAGTCGCTAACAACGTGTGATGTGTGATTCACAGTTGTGTGAATCCAACCCAACCTGTTATGTTTGCTTCTCCTTTTCATTGTTGGTCACGTCATACTTAAGAAATCTGGCTTTCCGAGTGTTTAGTGTCTTTGAAAGTTCAACACTTGTAGTTTTTCCTATTGGTTATTTATAACAAGGACATCTACGGCAAAACATTCTGGTACTTAATGAAAGTGCTGATCAGTTGGTTGACTGACAACTGTCCTTGCCGTGACAAACTGTTGTTCAGAGTATTCTCGCGTTGTCTCCGACTGTCTTTCTTTCTACAAATTGTTGCGGTTGTCAACACACGTTGCAGTTTAGCTCTTCTCCTTACACGGCCATCAATAGTTTATATAACAAGGGAGATTATCAGCAACCAATTTCAAAATCATGCATTTCAAAAATGTTTTATTTGTAACTGATTCGGTCAGCTTGCTTCAACATTTGTATCTGTAGCGCTGTGATAAATCGAACTTGCTCCTTGGCATGTGTCCTTCAAGTAAATTTTAGATATTTGATTGTCACTTAGGTATCTTTCTTTACTTGAGTGGTCTGAAAATAAAAAGACATTTATATATTTAATTTTGTGTGTGTGTATTTGTGGAAAAGGGTGGACAAGGGGGTAGGGTGGGTGTTATACATAAATACAAAAAATATAACATTAAAGACTTGACATACTGTTAACGATAGTTGGGCAAACCATGTTGTGAACATCCTATCATAGATGACTTGCAGCTTCAAAACTTTCTACTTCACGCATACCCCTACTGAACTAACAGGCGGGCATCACCATGGTGATTGCACCTTTATTCACCGATGAATTTCCATAGGTTTCACGCCCAATTAAAATACGGATAACACAACGCTGCTCCATTCGGTGCATATCAAAAGTGTGGCAGCCATCATTACGCTGCCAGTAATGAAGTAACTGTGTTCGACTGCACCGTGATCTTATGTGCTTAACACTCTTGTTATCAATAATAAAAATTTTTACAGGTTAAAAATAAAAAAAAATAAAAACAATGACAACATATTTTCCATACTACGATAGAACGTTCTGAACATTCTTAGACGACACAGAAGCGAACAATTAACCACAATGAGGGCATGTTTAAAAATTTATTTCCCCTCCATGAGAATCGAACAGGTGCAAACCCTGGAATCCCTGTTCAACCTTTTAGCTATACTGCAGCACGACAAAACGATTGCCAAGTCACCTGTAGTTTAGTTTAGTTTGTGTGCGATTACAAAATGCTCGTCTTTTCCTTGGGTTTGTTTGGCCAGTGGCATTTTCTGTCTGCACTCTTTTCATGCCTGGGTCTTACAAGTTGCGACAGAGAAAAACTCTTGTAGCCAGAGGAAGGAGCCCTGTAGACGCCGGCCAGCATTCAACATCATCATGTGGCAACGCATTTGCAAAACCTCGCTCTCATCAAGGTCTGCTTGTAAACAATCCGGTATCTCGCCAGTTCTCCTGTCTCGTGCACTTTCATATCCAATCTCCGCCAGCTCTCCCGCCTCGTGCACTTTCATATCCAATCTCCTACCAGCTCTTCCGCCTTGTGCACTTTCATATCCAATCCCTCGACAGCTCTCCCGCCTCGTGCACTTTCATATCCAAGGAGTCACTTATATCCGAGGATGCCAACCCGGTCAACACATGCTTGCAGAAGACTGATGTGTCGACATAAAAGCTCACAAATCGCAGCCATACTGTAAATTGACACAACACAATTACATCTTCGGATGAATGCAGAAGAATAAGATATCCTGTGCCCATCATTATGTTGGTCGGCCTCTGCCCCGCCTTCCTGGTATCATGCCTCCTGCTATTACTATCTTCAATTTGTCGTGGCGCTAGATATGGCCACACTATTTCAGCTTCCGATAAAAGATGCTGTTTATTAGCTAATCTTCCTTGATGTTCAAATCTTTTGGAATTTCAGTATTTCCTCTTATCTATGTCTATTGTATTCTGAAAAAAAAAAATCATTTTATGGCATTTCAGTTCAAAAACCCCTATTTTCTTGCTTAAGGACTGGAAGATAGCCCACAATTTCCATCACTATGTTGCTAGAGGGTAGATGGAAGATTGCCCACAACTCACATTCCCATGTTGCTACAGGGAAGATGGGAGATAGTCCACAACTTACATTAGTATGTTGCTAGAGGGTAGATGGAAGATTACCCACAACTCACATCCCCATGTTGCTACAGGAAAGATGGAAGATAGTCCACAACTTACATTAGTATGTTGCTAGAGGGTAGATGGAAGATTACCGACAACTCACATCCCCATGTTGCTACAGGGAAGATGGGAGATAGTCCACAACTTACATCACTATGTTGCTAGAGGGTAGATGGAAGATTACCCACAACTCACATTCCCATGTCGCTACAGGGAAGATGGGAGACAGTCCACAACTTACATCACTATGTTGCTAGAGGGTAGATGGAAGATTACCCACAACTCACATTCCCATGTTGCTACAGGGAAGATTGGAGATAGTCCACAACTTACATCACTATGTTGCTAGAGAGAAGATGGAAGATTGCCCACAATTTACATTCGTATGTTGCTACAGGGAAGATGGATGCTCTCAAAAATGTTAACATTGATTTCCTCACTGGTGCTCAATCAAAGACTTTTATTGCTGTTTAATCTTTGTATTGTCATGGACATCCTAGTTTTAACCTGTTTTGAATAATCCCCGCTGCTGACTGACCAATAGCCAAAGAGGAAATCCTTGACGGGTGGACAGATGGAACACTGGTTTCCTGATTCACTTCTTATGCAAATCCGTCTGTTTCAATTTACTAACTTTAGACGTGAAGAAGGCACATGAAAGAGGCATCAAGCCGCATGAAAATGTCAGATGGGAGTAGCGCTCTATATCGCAATCACTGAGGAAGAGAATGGGGATACTGAAGCTGAATTGCTATGGAACGATTCTAATTCTACCTTGGGCTAAAAAGAAGTAATGGTATCAGAAAAGACCGGAAGGGGCCGACCAGAACAAAGATTGACCCAAGGTATAAGAGACACCTTTGGTAGAAAAGTGCATGAGGCGGCAGAGTTGATGAACGTGATGACAGGTACGTTCTGTCAGTTACCTACTAAACAATGATGATAATGATGAGTGATGATAAGGATGGGATGATAAGGATGATAATAATGATGATAGTGATGAACGATACAGAAGGCGATTAGGCATACCACCTGGAAATACTTAAAGGTGTAAACATAAAATTAGCCAGATAACCACAAGCTTACCTGGTCTCACAGACGAATCTGTTGAGCTGATCGCACTGGAAGTCATTCCACTTATACCCGAATGGCTGCCTGATCTCGGTGCAGTCCTCCACTGATGGGTCGTGTTGCATCAAGAGGAAATAATCAGGTAGGCGATAGGAATAATGAAGAGAACAATAGCAGACCGGTTTAACAGCTGACAGTCTGAGAAAGCCGGTTAAATACATGCCATGGCAACAGTTTATGCTAAAATATCTTTTCCTTCTTCATCTTTTATTTTCACCCTCTCTAAGCTCCGGCAGAAATTGCCGAGTGTTTGTACATTAGGACTTTGGTTTTGTGTCTGTATTCGTTTTACTGGTTTATTTATGTGCATTTGGTTGTCCTAGATAAACTGTGACTTTGAAGAACACCCCCAGTTTGGTCCCTTTCCCCAACCGCCACCCCAATTAGTCATCTCCTGTTTGTCATGTTTGTTTACCACTACAATAGTGCCCGGAACCCACACAGAGCCCTAACATATCATACTCTAATTGTGGAAAACTCTTCGGAACGCGATCGGATCTCGATGCACACACTCTGTTGTTAAGGACCGTGATTAGCATGGCTCCTTTAAGCATAAGTTATACTAAGTCGTCACCCTTTAAGTCCAAGTCGAGACTCAAGTCATTGCCACTTGACGTTGTCCAAAGTTGTTGCCTTCTAGTCCCAAGTCATTGCCACCTGGCCTTGTCCGAAGTTATAGCCTTTAGGTCCCAAGTCAATGCCACCTGGCCTTGTCCAAAGTTATTGCCTTAAGTCCCAAGTCATTGCCACCTGACCTTGTCCAGAGTTGTTGCCTTCTAGTCCCACGTAATTGCCACCTGGCCTTGTCCGAAGTTATTGCCTTTAAGTCCAAAGTCAATGCCACCTGGCTTTGTCCGAAGTTGTTGCCTTCTAGTCATTGCCACCTGGCCTTGTCCGAAGTTGTTGCCTTCTAGTCATTGCCATCTGGCCTTGTCCGAAGTTGTTGCCTTCTAGTCACTGCCACCTGGCCTTGTCCGAAGTTGTTGCCTTCTAGTCATTTCCACCTGGCCTTGTCCGAAGTTGTTGCCTTCTAGTCATTGCCATCTGGCCTTGTCCGAAGTTGTTGCCTTCTAGTCACTGCCACCTGGCCTTGTCAGAAGTTGTTGCCTTCTAGTCATTTCCACCTGGCCTTGTCCGAAGTTGTTGCCTTCTAGTCATTGCCATCTGGCCTTGTCCGAAGTTGTTGCCTTCTAGTCATTTCCACCTGGCCTTGTCCGAAGTTGTTGCCTTCTAGTCATTGCCATCTGGCCTTGTCCGAAGTTGTTGCCTTCTAGTCACTGCCACCTGGCCTTGTCAGAAGTTGTTGCCTTCTAGTCATTTCCACCTGGCCTTGTCCGAAGTTGTTGCCTTCTAGTCACTGTCACCTGGCCTTATCCGAAGTTATTGCCTTCAAGTACTAAGTCATTGCTATTAAGTCCCAAGTCGAGTCTCAAATCGCCGAGAATGCTTCTAAGTCAAGTCTCAGATCATAGCCACCAGGTTCCAAGTCATTGCCACCAGATCCCAAGTCATTGCCACCAGATCCCAAGACATTGCCACCACATCCCAAGCCATTGTCACCAGTTGCCAAGTCATTGCCACCAGTTGCCAAGTCATTGCCACCTGGTCCCAACTCATTGCCACCACATCCTAAGTCATTGCCACCAGTTGCCAAGTCATTGCCACCACATCCCAAGTCATTGCCACCACATCCCAAGTCATTGCCACCAGGTTTTAAGTCATTGCCACCAGGTTCCAAGTCATTGCCACCAGGTCCCATGTCATTGCCACCAGGTCCGATATCATTGCCAACAAGTCCTATGTCAAGTCTCAAGTCACCAAGAATGCTTTCAGGTCGAGTCTCAAGTCAAGTCACTTCGTACAACAGATGGGACAATACTTTTGGATTAGTTCAGTCTGTTATGATGCCAGAACAACAGCCCACAACTGCTAGACGTTGACACCGCTGGTGTATATTTGAACACAGCTACAGATTGGTCGTTATCCCCATAGCACTGGAAGTTGCCTCGGGCAGTTGTAGCGGGTACGGAAACAATAACTGTAACTTCTTTTGAGGTTGAACGGGGTAACTGGGATCCGACCTATCGGTTTGCTGTTCACATTGAGATTGCCCAAACTCAAGGTGTTATAGTAAAAGTTTATATAAGCAGGCTGAAGGCTAAAAAAAAACTGATTGATTGAGAGATTAGAGGTGGATAAGGTTGAGTGGAAGAAAGTGGAAGAGGAAGAGGGGGAGACTGAATACAAAATACAAAAATACAAAAAAAAAAAAACAACAGCAACAACAACAACAACAACGAGAAGAATAACAGAATTTAGAAAAGAACAAGTATCAGAAACAACCAGAAGTTCAAAAACAAGAAAAATAAGAGCAAGAACAGGAAAACCAAAACTAGAAGAAAGTGAAAGGGAAAGAGAAGGGGACTGAATATAAAGTCGAAGAAGAAGAAAAAAAAAGCAACAAGCAGAACAACACAATTTAGAAAATTTAAAAAGAAATGCTAGAAATACAAAAACAACAATAAGAAGAACAAGTACATCTAAAAGCAGAAAAATGAGAACAAGCAGAAAACAAGAGGCACTCAAAGAAAAAGATGATCCATTATGAGCTAAGAATGTCACCAGCATCCACATGATGCCTCTACTTACAAACTCCTGGAGGGTCTGCAGGCTGACCAGGTGACCAGTCTTGGTAAGTGAGAGTATTTCCACTGTACGCCCACACCACGGCTTTTCGATACAAGACCTCACTTCCTCCAATCCAGATTGAACCGACTAATAAATGTGGATAAAACGATGTTTTATTTTTATATATTTTAACAATAAATACAATAAAAGAGGGGCAGGGATGGCCCAGCATTATATAAGCAATGCACTGGTAAAGCAAATGCATGAGGCGGGAGAGCTGGCCAATGGCCGCGTTCTTGCATGGAAAAAAGGGGTGATTAAAGCGATGCTCTACATATGTCCTGCTACATAATGACGAAACAAAGAACACATTGCCTAATGTATTGCTTGTCATCCTCCCCTGTGGGAGAAAGAGGGATTGGGGGGGGGGGGGGAATTCCATGGTATAGTGCTAGACGCTAGCCTGTGGATCTAAAGGTAGTGCATTTATATCCGCATTCAACCTGTTTCAAGCATGACCTTGGCTCCCTTGGAGACCCAACCTTAAATTAGTACCAGGTCAAGTCCTGGGGAGTTATGAGTTAGATTATCTCCACAGCACTCCAGACACATCCATAGGCGCTCTAAGATTCCCAACTCAACATATTCATCAACGTCGTGCAGTTAATAGTGCCAGTCCTATGTTGGTTAACAAGATTTCGTTTGCGTCCGGTGTGCATCTCATTCTTGGCTGTTTCGATCTTTACTCCCAATTCTTGGCAGAGATGTGGACCCGTTACTTCCGAAATCCCCAGAACGTCATAACCCTCTAAGGGTAATCTTTAATTAATGCAGCACCTGCCAGTCTATCAGCTCTTTTATTAACAAACAACGCCTGCGTACCCTGGAACGAATATAAAGGTAACTGCACACACAGCAGAGTTTTGCAATGATTCAAACCACTGTCTGCGTAACCATCCTGCCTCGACCCGCCGGATTATGCTGAAAGAGTCACTCAGCACACAAACGCGGGAATAGTCCTGTGATCCCAGCCACATGAAAACCTGTGTCACCGCCAACACCTCCATCGTCATGCTGCTGGTGGTCATGGAGAAGGCACCGCCTGCTTTTTGAACTGTTCTGCCCGAAGAGCGAGCTGTAAATTCCCATGCACTCTTAAGCTCCTGGAGAGTAAAGGCGGCCGGCATAATGTTCACCACATAACCTATAGGAGTACTATTGACTTTTAAAAATGTCCTGATCCGCTAATGGCCTGTAGAGGGATCTTTACTTTATTTTACTTTCTTGTATCTCGTCAGATGTTTATCAAACCCTAGCACTTACAAAAGTAGTAACAGTCTTACCTTGTGTATACAAAAGGATCACGCCGTTAATCGACGCTTCGGCAGTTAGATGTACCGTTTAAGCAGAGACTACGTGATATGTATTTTTTCAAACGAAGGAAGGCATGTCTCCTGCTAAATTATAGCAATGCCATGAAAAGATATCAAAATAAACCAAAAGTAGAACCAGTCAGCTTCACATTATCACACACGAATAAGTAAATGGTGCGGCTAGTAAGCCTTCATCAGCAAAATTAGTTATTATAAAATATCACAAATGCGAACAATAACTACACCCAGAAAAAAAATCACTTAACTGAAGTATTTCTGACAGAAATAACATTTCTGCCCAGCCAGTTGAATCTAGGAAATTTGTGTGAACACCGAGATTAAAATATAAGCTAAACAAATTTTGGGACGACAAGGGACGTAACTCAAAACAAAAATATATTATATAAATGTGTGTTCGATGTGAAGTCCCTTAGTCACATAGAAGCTTAATAAATTGATATATGGCTCTCGAGAAATTGTGGACTGCTTAAATCATGTGTAAACCAAAAGTAAATGATTTCTGTACACATCGTGCTGTCTTCCTTTACTTCTCAGTCTTTGTCTTTAGCAAAATGACACAACATTCAGTAAGACTTAGTACGTAGGAAGTATGCAACATTAGCGTACAACTAATTACTTACAGTTGATAGCTTTGATTGTATTGACCAACCAGGTGTTTTCTCTTTCGCTTTCAATCTCCACCAGATAGGCGCCGTGCACAAAACAATATGCCTGAAATTTTAATCATTTTAAACATACGTACCTGTTGTCTTCTGGTTAACTACTCGTCGTGCCTTCTCTCTGAGTCTCGATTGGCGCACATCGCCACATTTGCCTTGTACAGTTTCGGTACACCCCCAAATATGGCCATTCCAGCTAGCCTATCTGACTGCTCATTCCCAAATACACCTGAAAGTTCCAGCCAAATATTCATGTGACTCTCAACACTTGCGACCTATGGACTGATGCGACCCATTCTACACGAAGAAAACCTGACTACATCTTCCTGTGCACGCTTTGCGAATCCGACACTATGCCAACATGAGTTGGTGAGTTCCCCCCCCCCCCCCTACTCATCGAAACACAGCAGTTATAGCCTCAACCTCCATCCTTATGCTGGATATGCTGTTATCATATGCCAGGTTCAATTCAGTTACCTTCTCGCTAAAGATTTTGCAACAAAGCTAACTTTATAGTTGTCTTCTTTAAGCTGTTGAACTTCTGTGTATGCACGTCCTGCCGTCCATTCCCTGCCCCAAGATAATGACCACTATGTGCATCTCTTCCCTGCCCCAAGATAATGACCACTATGTGCATCTCTTCCCTGCCCCAAGATAATGACCACTATGTGCATCACTTCCCTGCCCCAAGATAATGACCACTTTGTGCATCTCTTCCCTGCCACAAGGTAATGACCACTTTGTGCATCTCTTCCTTGCCCCAAGGTGATGACCACTTTGTGCATCTCTTCCTTGCCCCAAGGTAATGACCACTTTGTGCATCTCTTCCTTGCCCCAAGGTGATGACCACTTTGTGCATCTCTTTCTTGCCCCAAGGTAATGACCACTTTGTGCATCTCTTTCTTGCCCCAAGGTAATGACCACTTTATGCATCTCTTCCTTGCCCCAAGGTAATGACCACTTTGTGCATCTCTTTCTTGCCCCAAGGTAATGACTACTTCATACATATCTTCCTTGTCCCAAGGTAATGACCACTTTGTGCATCTCTTTCTTGCCCCAAGGTAATGACCACTTTGTGCATCTCTTCCTTGCCCCAAGGTAATGACTACTTTGTGCATCTCTTCCCAGCCCTCCGCCACCTTTCCCGATTCTTCTCCTATGCAAACTTCTTAAATGTTGAAGGCCATGTTGATAGTCTTTTTAGATCCCGGATCTGCACCTCTTTAATCTTTCCTCCTTCACGGTATGTGGTGTAACTAAGTTAAGGAACATGCAGCAAGTTACGGTAGTGAGGCTTCTAAGAGAGTGGTAGAGAGGGATGTCACTACGACACACCTACAAGAACATCAGGACAAACGCTAGAATGATGTGAATAAAATCAACTTACCGCAGCATCGACCCAGTTTCTAGGGACATCTCCAAAACCATAACAAGATCCATTGAAATACGTCCATCCCTCCCGACACTTGGTGCTCAATGCTGTGAATAAATTGTCCAGTATGTGTGGGCATTACTACTTACTGTAGTCAGTTTAAAAGCAAGTGATATTCATTTCAAGGAAAGTTCAAGAAAGTCATCATCATCAAGCAGCAGACCCTTTGCAGAACATTACCTAAAAGAAACTCAGCTCCGTCACTCGCCAGCTCTTCCATCTAATTCACTTTCATATTCAAGGAGTCCCTTTTATCCTGTGTCCATCTTCGTGTCGGTTGACCCTGCCCTTCTTTACTGGTGACAGGACGTCCACCCCTCCCCCCCCCCCCCCAATATGGCCAAATTGTTTTTAGGTTCTGAAACAAGATGCTGTTTTTATTGAATTTTAGCTCAAACCTGTTTTTCTTCTTCAAGACTGGAGTATAGTCCACGACTCACATCCGTCTGTTCCTACAGGGAAGATGCATGTTCTCAAAATGGTAACTTTGATTTTCTTTTTGGTGCTTAACCACAGACTTTTACTGCCGTGTAATCTTTGCATGGACATAACCATACTCCTTTTGACTTCTGTGAAAAGCAATAGGAAACTACATTATTTATCCTAAATCTCATTGACAAAGTGTGTATTTCGAATACAATTTCTTCTGGCTATCCCTATGATTAAAAAACATCACAAAAAAAGATACAAAAACAAAACATAAAGTATTGCAGCGTTCTCCACACTACAACAATGCACGAACGGAAAGTGAACGTTGCTGTTATAGAGCCTTCATCGGCACATCACGTAAATCATTAGAACCACACGTACAGACACAAATATACAAATTTACTTCACTGGCGTATTAACGACAGCAGCCTCAACGATTAAAAAAAAAAAACGTACACAGAGAACCCTAAAGAAGAAAACCCAGATGAAATATAAAATAACGTTAAATTACCTTGGCCAGGGCAGTCAGCAGACACGACGACCGCTGTCAGCAGCAACATAAACACGCAGAGTATCTGTTAGAGATGTATCACATATTTATGTATGGGAGACATGAGAATATTAGTATCTATGTGCTATGGATATATATAATATTTATCTGTGAGAGTTGTGTAGCATATTTATCTGTAGGAGATGTATAACATATTTATGTGTGGGAGAATATTGGTATGTATGTGATATTGGTATCTATGTGATATAGATATCTATAAAATTTAGCTATGGGAGATTATAGCATATTAATCTAATGCAGATGTGCAGCATATTTATATATTGGAGATATATAGGGTATTTATCTATGTAAGTTGTGCAGCATATTTATCTATGAGAGACACAAAACATTTATCTGTGGGAGTTGTATAGCATGTTTATCTATGGGAGATGTGTAGCATATATATCTATAGGAGATGTGTAGCATATGACTATGGGAGATGTGTAGAATATGTATATATAGGAGATACATAGGATATGTATCTATCGGAAATATGTAGCGTACTTGTCTATGAGAGATGTGTAGCATATTTATCTATGGAAGATATATAGCGTTATTTATCTGTAGCAGATATGTAGAATATTTATTTTTGGAAGATATATAGCGTTTTTTATCTGTAGCAGATATGTAGCATATTTATCTATGGAAGATATATAGCGTTATTTATTTGTAGCAGATATGTAGAATATTTATTTATAGAAGATATATAGCGTTAGTTATCTGTAGCAGATATGTAGCATATTTATCTATGGAAGATATATACCGTTATTTATCTGTAGCAGATATGTAGAATATTTATCTATGCGAGAAGTATAGCATATTTATTTTTGGGAGATATAGAGTTATTTTACCTATTGGCGATACAAAGTGCATTTATCTTTGTGAGACGCATAGCGTATATATTTATTGGAAATACGATAACACTGTTATTATGGGAAAATTATATTATTTTTTTCTGAAACGTAAGATTAAATATACATTTTGGTGGGAGGTAAAATGGCACATTTATCTGCTAGAGATATGATAACATGATTATCTTTGTCAGATACGTATGAAAGATATGAATATATATATATATATATATATATATATATATATATATATATATATATATATATATATATATATATACATGTATATCTGTGGGGGGGGGGCAGGAGATAAGAATAAGCTATTTATATTATCTTTGAGATATGAGATAGGAAAGTGATCAGTTAGAAATATTAGAACATATGTTTCCATGATAGAAGTAGTAACATATAAAAACGGGAGAAATTATATCATTTTTATCAGATGTTATTACATATTTATTTTTAGGAGATTTAACAACATATGTATCTACTGCAGATGTGATAATATATGTATCTATGGGATATATGATACTTGTTGTCCAGTGTAGATGTAAATGGGTATATAAATGTAGAAAAGCTCAGGCAAAGGCAGAATTTGTGTTCCCTACATTCACGCCTGACACTCGTAAAACCATGCTGGTATAAATATACCCCCCCCCCCCCTTTTTCCTTCCCCGTCTCCCCCAACCACAATTCAAAAACCCACATTAATGTCTGTTCTCACCGCTTGTGGTGTAGGCAGTCTGGAGTTCGGAGGGGGGGGGGGGGTTATCTTTGAGCCTTAGCATTAAGGTCCATATTGATAGTTATGCCGCCAATCACTGTTCATGTTAGGCTTATAGTTTTGCCTAAGACAAAAAAAAAAAATCCTCACCCTTATCGAGAATTCGAACCCACCATGTGTCTGGATTTGGTGGTTGGTGTTGAGAGCCCAGAGCTTTTCAGTCTGTAGACAACCGTTTGAATCAGCTACATCCCCAAAACAATGTGGATGTGGAAAAAAATACATGCGGGTTAAAGGATACTGAGGTAATTGTAAATTGTTCTTCCAATTAGACCACATCAACATAAATGTGTGACAAGTGACATAACAAATCATGCGAAAAGTTCATGTATATTCAAATGTACACATTCTTTTAAGTGCTCATGATTAGAAATATCAAGAAGCCTAAACATCAAAGAGACTAGAAATGGACACAACTATTTTCAACAAGAAGCGACAATTAGATCGACTATTAGAGAGAAAAACAACACGCTAAAAATGAGAATCGTCAAATGTCATGTCCACTTAATCCTTTTGTACAGTGCAGGAACTTGGACAATGAACACACTAGAAAATCTGATTAAGTCTCTGGAAATACAGAAGAGTATGTCCTATTTTATGAAAACAAAAACGATCAACTACAGAGGTTGTAAAGAGACTGTAAGTGAAAAGAGAGTTACTGAAGGAAACAAAGAAGAGACAATCGAAATATTTTAACCACACTGTTTTAAAACCCTACTTGAGGAAAATGTTGAGGACAAGACAGCAACAGTAGAAACGGTACAAGTGGTATGACAACATCAGCATATGGAAGAATTTAAGTCTCTCATGATTGATTATCTATGCGACTTATTCTATTATGAAATGGGAAGAAATCTTCCATTAAAATCAAATGGACTATGTTTGGTGCAAAAAAGTATGATATATGAAATCATAACATTTAGTTTGAGAATGGAGGTGAAGGCAGTTACAGTGTCTTTCTTTTTGCCGAAAAATCTGCTGCAAACACGTGTAATTTTGTTTCGCTCTCTGTTGCTTAGAGTTTGGTGGCAAGGCTTCACAATTCAATCTTCGATGTTTACCGGTGTTGGAATCCCGAGATGCAGCGAATACATTGCAGCCAATCTCAATTGCGGAGAAGGCGCGGCTTTGTGTTTTTATTTATTGTAAACAACTCGTAAAGCATTCTGCCAGTTGCGAATTCATGGTCTGTGCAAAGTGGCTAGCATCGCTTCAGAGGTCGACGGCAATGAATATCCTTTGGATTTTTGTCTAGGTGTGCCGGCATGTTGGGAAACGAACAGATAGACACACTGGCTGCTTCTGCATTAAAAGGTGGGAAAATGATATTTGCAAAGACATCTATTGTAAAAGATTAGCTGGCTGTTTTACCCATTTGCAAGTAAAATTCACCCTTTTGTAGATATCTATAGAGCTTTGTTATTTTTCAGTTGTTTAAATAGAAAGGAAAAATCACTGAAACTTTTTATAACTGCGTTTTGTATTCGGAAAAAAAAAAATAATACGAAACACTATTAAAATCAGAAATATATTTTTTTTACAGTGTTCTTTGTTACAGTTTCCGTGCAGAGTTTCATGATAATTTCATATACTTTTATCATGCTGGTGTATGCAGACGAAGGCTTTCGAGTCGCAACGTTAATTTTGTTAATTTTGAGTGTTTCTGTAAAGCGGCTTAGTTTTACGTTTTGGTTTTACCGATGTGTTGCTAATAGTCTGATTATAATGCAAGCCCCCACACAAGCTGCTGTTTGTGTTCATGAGATATTAGTAGTTAATTGGTCTAATCATTAAACCGTTTCGCCCGCATAGCAGAACCTTTATTAGCCTAGGGACTGACATGCATGGGTAGCTGCCCACTGAAGTGTTGATTATACATTTACCATTAAGCCTGGTCTTCCCCTCCCCCCACCCCCTTTTCCCTTTTCCAAGATTGCCTTCTTGTTACCACCCTGTTACTCAAAAACACAATTTTTGGAAAAGAATCGATCGTAAGAAAATACCGGAAAGCCGTACCACCGTATAACACAGTTATTCATGAGAGAGAGAGAGAGAGAGAGAGAGAGAGAGAGAGAGAGAGAGAGAGAGGGGGGGGGGAGAGATAAAAATAGAGATAAAAAGAGAGAGAGAGCTAAAAGAGAGAGAGAGAGAGAGAGAGAGAGAGAGAGAGAGAGAGAGAGAGAGAGAGAGAGAGAGAGAATGTGTTGATCTTAGTGTTTCATAGGTACACGTCATAGATATGGTAACTGTATTTCTCCATGGGCGTGATGTTGGTCTTCTCCACTGTGTGACTGAAACAGAACACATATTTGTTTACTCATGAAAGGAAAAGAGTGCTTTCAGTGGGCTTGGTTTTCTAATGACATCTTTCCTGTATCAAGATATGGATGCGAGACGTGGGCTTTCTCTCAGGTGTTAACAAAGAAAATATGTGATTTTGAGTGGAAATGCTATAGAAATATTCTCAAAATGCCATCTTGTTCTTCTTTTTCTTCTTCTTCTTCTTCTTCTTCACTTCCTCTTTTACCGCTGTGGGTGTCGAGGGAGATATAAGGTTCTGTTTCTAGCTCTTCTGGCTGCCTCGACCATAGGCACATCATGCTGTTGTAGAGTTTCTCTGATGTTATCCTTCCATCTTGTTCTTGGTCTACCCCGTGCTCTACGTCCTTCTTCTCTTTCCATGTATGCTTTGTATGGTATGGTGTCACAAGGCATTCTCTCTAAGTGGGCAAACCATTTCACTTGCTGTCTTTGTATGTAATCCAGAATTGGTTCTGTGCCGACTTGTTCTCTTATGATCTCATTCCTGATCTTATCTCTTATGGTCACCCCTACAGCCCTTCTCAGACATCTCATTTCCGTGGTTACTAATTTTCTTTTATGGTTTGTTGTGAGTGACCATGTCTGGCACTGGTAGCACAGAGTTGGAATAAATATGCTTTGAATAAGATGTCTCTTTGTGCTGATTGGGATTGTCTTATGCTGTAAGAGGGGGGCTAGCTGTCCCAATACTTGGTTTGCTTTACTGCATCTAATGTCAATTTCTTTATCCAATTTCCCATCTTTGGTAAATGTAATTCCCAGATATTTAAACTCAGATGCCTGTTTAATGTCTTTGTAATCTATTGCTATGTTTAGATCTGTCTTCTTTTTTCCAATTGACATTACTTCTGTCTTTTCAGTGTTGATTCTCATATTATTTGTTTTACATTCTTCATTCATGGATGTTAGATGTTGTTGCAATTTCATGGCTGTATCTGCTATCAAGGCCTGGTCATCTGCAAGAGTAATTCGTTGATCTTACTAAGATCTTTATTCATGGGCTTGGCATTCTTGCATATACTGTCTTACTCCAGATGTCACTGTGAAAGGATGAGATGTTCCCTGATT